TAATTTCTAGAAGCTTCTTATATCTGCAGGAATGTACAAAATGACTAAGTCAAAATGTTTCAGACTAATATTTAATAATTTCTTAAACATGTTCCTAACTTACAAAGATACAAATCAATAAATTATGATCCTCTCTCACTTTTTAACATAACATAGTTTGAGAATATTCTAACAAAATTTAACTTTATGTAAGTAATATGAAGAAAATTTTATAACTTACATAACAAAGGATTGATATTATAATCATATATGGAGATTTTATAAATAAACTATTAATATTTATTTTAGTATTTGGTTGGGCAAAATGTAATCATGGTTTCTGAACCGTGATTACTTTCGCACCAACATAATATGTTAATATAAAACACTAACCTATTATTAAATATGAGTTTTCACTCAGAGATCAGCATCAAAGGGGAAAAGCATATTTATATATGTATGTTTGCATAAGACACAAAAATACATTTTTGATACCTTTTGACCACTGTCTATAGGAAGAAAAGAACAAACAAACACAAATGATCATGAAGACTATTCACAGTAGAAAAATAGAAAGAAAAGAAAACTGAGTTGAGGAGAGAAAAGGAAACAGGCATAGTTTTAGAAGAAACGAAATGAGAAGAAAGATCATGTGAAGCCTTAACGACAGTTGTAGGAAGAGTTCTAAAGATCTTTGCTAGCACAGTGCTAACAAAATGAAAGGGATCCAAAACCATGCAGAAAAAGATAATGAGAGAAAAATATTAATTGGAATCAGAGAACAAATTAAAGCTCTCAGCAAATAGAAAAGCAGCCATGTTGGGGGCTTCAAAGGCACTGAGGAAAATTTTATTTTTAATCTGGGTGGCAGAAACACAATTACTCATTTTACTCTTCTCTAGGTCATACATATTTTGTATTGTAACATATATGTATGTACATATAATACATGTGTATATATGCACGTGTGTGTGTGTATCAAAAACAACAGAAGTTTAGTGACATATATGTACCTCACGTATGTATGGGAGGTACCAGTAGAAAATAAGTAAATATCCATAATATATTTTAAAACTAAAAAAAATCAAAGCGACTAAAAGAAAAGTTAATCAAGATGATTTTTGATGGTGTTTAAAAATAACAAAGACAGATTTTTAGATATTAAAGGATAGCAGATATGCACACTACCAAGAGGAAGATTACCAAATACAAACAAAAATATCTTCAGAAGTAAAAATTCAAAGTAGATAATGAAGAGTGCAGTTGACATCATATGCCAAAGGCATTGCCATTATTGTTTTCAAAATCATTAAAGAATAAGTGTGATATTTAGATATTCAAAAAAAGTTTCAGTTTTTGCTGTGACTGAAAAAAAGTTAAAATAGAATAATTTCTTTAAATATGAAAATGCAGATATAGGTCAAATTTGTATCTCAGTTGCAATAAATATATTGAAATTATAGTTAATAAATATTTTTAAAGTTCTAAAATATTGAAATCTTACCCAGCTATTTCTTTTCCTAATTCATTTTTTTCTTTATTTCCCAATCCAAATTATGCTCCAGAGATTGCGTGAAGTCAATACATTGGTTTAATTTCTCTTTTCTATCTTCAGTCTTTTAAAGAAATTAAAGAAAATTATTATTAAAAATCTAGAGACACTCTTCTTTCCTAAAAATATTTCTCTTGAGTTCATGAGTTATATGTGTGTAAACCATTTTATAACATGCAGTTTATACACTTTATTCCAATAATGACAGATTGAAAAACATAACTTTTTAAAAACCAACCCAAAATGATTTATACTCTCATCAGTATCATTTGTGGAATTTAAACTGCCAAAATTTATTTGGTAAAAAAGTTTATATGCATAAAATACTAAATGCTAACAATAAGTGAAAAAATAAGTAGTTATATTTATATTTTGGTTTCCAAAGATGCCCTCAAAGCATTGTCATCAATAGTTCACAATATGCCAGGTTTGTTCATTGATATCTACCTAAGACAATTTTTTGAAAGCTCTCATTTGGTCCGCATAACATTTCTGATTCTAACCTAACTTCCGGATGAGGTAACTACGCTCATTCTCTGTAAGTATTGTTTTATAGCTTTTTGATTTTTTTTTTCTATTAATCATTTTTCTTTAGATAAAGTTTATGTATTGTCTATGTTTCTTGTTCTCAATATTCTCAACTTATAATGCGTTTATCAAGATGTAACGCCACTGTAAACTGAGAAGACCCTGTACTGTGGGTTGAAAATCCTTATTCTAAAATCTGAAGCTTCAAAAATCTGAAACTTTTTAAATGCAGACATAATTTTTCTCAATAGTCAGAAAAAACATGAGTATTGATTAGAACAATTCTCTATTAGAGTGGTTTCTGTTTTGTATTGATTAAAATATATTTCAAATAAAACTTTATTATGTCAACGTCTGAAAAAATAATCAGTACAATATATTTAATTGTGTTGTAACGACTGGTAAGATAGAATATTTTCAATTTATACAGTAACAGGTAGCATGTATGTCAGATATTGTTCCCTGCTTATGCAAATTCATAATAAAACATGATTATGTCTCATGAAAAAATAAAGCAATGTACAATTGAAGGTTAAAATGTTCTGCAACAACTAGAAAACACATCCTGAAGCACAAGGTCAATGAGAGTCAGAACAGTCAGAGAAAGATTCATGAAAAACATTAGATCATGGTTGCTTAGGACTGGGGAAGGTGAAGAAACATGGAGGTGGGTTGTGGTGATGACTAAGATGTGAAGTTTCTCTTTAGGGTGATGAAAATGTTCTGAAAATTATTGTGGTGATGGTTATACAACTTTGTGAATATATTAAGAGACATTGAGTTGTATAATTTAAAAGTGTGAACTGTATGATATGTGAATTTTATCCCAATAAAGTTCGTTTTTAAACATCCAATGGCAGTATGAAGATAATTTCATTTTCTATTTTGAATATACATACTATACATGATCTAAATATATGTTTATACAATATAATTAAAAAGAAAAAACAAAAGAATTGCCTAGCTATTCAAATACTGTGTATATTAACCTAAACATTTGCATTTTGGAAAATAGTATCATG